TTAAGATTATCTGTACACTAAAGCTAGCATAATCTTCAATTCTCTAATAAATGTACTCCATGTTCTATAAGAGTTAAAATAGTCGGTAATACTAGCATTAAATCAAAGGGAAACCATGCCAAAATATCATTTTTTGATACTAAAAATTGTTAAATTAGATTTTTATAACAGTTTTCATATCTACCACCCCATAAATATCCTCACACTAACCATACCATTCACCAACTATGGCCCTAACTTACAGTGGACATTCCCCAGTAATGCAAGATACCTGGGGGTTTCTTATACAGACAGGGATTTAACCCCTGCAGGTACCTTTACTGCATGAGGGTCTGTGCAGTCACCAAGAATCATGTCCTGTATGATGTATAGACCAGGCATATGCAAACTTTGGCACTCCAGATGTTTTGGACTACACCTCCCATGATGCTTTGCCAACATCATGGGTGTAAGAGCATTATGGGGGATGTAGTCTGCAACATCTGGAGTTCCAAAGGTTGCCTATCCCATATAGACCATATGTGAAGATGTAAGATATGAAATGAATATCCTGTAATACCTTTGCTGGACTAACAATTGTGGAAGGTCAGCTTTCTCCAAATATGAATTAAAGGCACATATTTGCTATATTTAGCTAGTCTTGCTATGAAATTAGGAGACATTTTACATTTCAGACAATTGAGACAACTCACCTTACTCAGATGTTCAAATTCCAGGTGTGCTGTAAAATTATTTCCCATGGAACTTCCTACTCTCCAGCAGTAATGTACATAAATAATGGAACACCTTAGGTAAGGAGTCAGATTGAAAAGACATTTCGACTTACAAATAGGAGTGTGTCAAGGATGGTTTGAACCATAATCACTTGTTACAGTGCTTGAAAGATTCCTTTAACACTTGCATATGTACTGTAGATCAGGACTCTCCAGCCACGTTTTGAGTTATGCAAGTTAACAATATGACTTCTACATGTCCCAGGTTGGATGTGACTATGTAGCAAACTCACCCCTTTAACCCCTTTGTAGCGGATGGCACTGGGCTGTCCTGCAAATGTCCTTGAAATAATTGCATTCGTGTGATCTGCTAGTTTTCTATGTGTTTTAAAGCCTTGTATTCTTTTGATTGTTCGGTAGTTTCATTCCCTTAGTTTATTCGAATGAAACTACCGAACAACCAGACCTCCCCTGTGTGAAGTGTGTCCTCAATTACCCGTTGCAACATTGTTGCGAACGGGTAATTGAATAGTAAGTAGCCGTCCTTTGTTCTCGGGGGTGGCCGCCATTCGACAAACGAACACGTGGCGGCGGCCATTTTAAAACTCCCGAACAGCGGTGTTTTGCCGTCGAGTGTCTGGAACTAAAATCGGACACTCGAGTAGGCGAACACCGCTGAGACCTCCACAGCCCTGGTCCGTTCGGTTCCAAACTACCGAACGGCCCCTCGTTCGGTAGATAGAAAATACCGAACGAGGGGATTCAGGCGAACCCTTCCTAGCCTCTATAGCTAGAGGTTTTCGTGTATTTTATTCCCTTATGCCAGGACCGACCGCAGGGCCCATTCACATGGAACCGGATTCGGCTATCTCTGTTCGTGCGGTCGGTCATTTTATTCCCTCCATACTTTTCCCGAACCCCTGGTCTGATCTGGGTGATTTTTGGATATGTTGGTCACCCAGATCAGGGCTACCAGGGGATGTATGATTTAAAGGGGTACCCCTACGTTTAGGGGTACATCCAGAAATGGGGGGAATTGGTGTGCTGGATAAGGGGATTATGATGCTGGCTGAGGGGAGGGGATGTGTGGGAGGTTACCAGGACAGGATTGGCTACTGTAATAATTACTGTAAATCCCTCCCTTGCATGGGAGCATGCTTTATAAGGAGACTGTGATTAAAGGCTTGTCAGTTCTGCTCCTGAAACTGTGTGTCGTCCAGTTATTGGGATTGCTGTGGGGATATTGCTGCTGTTTTACCTGCTGGAAACTTTGCCTATGGATTTATTATTTACTTGTTCCTGAGCCTCACTTGGATTATAAGCGGAGATAACCTGGGGAATATTGCATCTCCGCTACACCCTTAAGGACACATGACATATGTGACAGGTCATGATTCCCTTTTATTCCAGAAGTTTGGTCCTTAAGGGGTTAAGGGAGTTAGCCATGATTTTTTGCCAGGGGCTTCTGCCCTGTGACTACGGCCCCTGGGATGTATTGCCCTTTAACATATTCAAGCATAATGGATTTGTATTGTGCTAGCCCTTTAAGAACTGTGAAGAAACCCCCCTATTCCCTATGTGATTTACAGTTTGCATTCCCTTTTATTTTCTATTTGTTGCCTATTGCATTCGGTAGATGAAACTACCGAACCGGGACCACCCTCTAGCTCATTAAACATAAAAGATTTAGGTGAAATTGCTACTTCTGTCTGTGCAGCCAGCGTTCGTTAGTCGAACGCCACGTGGCAGAGAAAACCGCAGCCATCTTTGTTCGTGCGAACAAAAGGCAGCGGGACCTGGTCGTCGAGTGCATGGAACTGTTTTACGGACACTCGACTTCCCGAACACCGGTCCCAAACAGACGAACGCTGGAACTCTATTTGCCGAAGAGCGCTATTCAGTACTTTGGTGCATTCGACAGAGGGGCACGAACGCTGCTAGGAGCCAGAGGGATCCATTCGTACATTTATTCGTTTTTATGTTTTTCGAAAGTGACCAGCGAAACCCACCAAATTCGTGGAACTGTTTTGGGCATGCAGCCCAAGGTGAGCCGGTCACACAAGACTTCCATAAAATTTGCGAACCCCTGAACCGATCTGGGTGAAATGCGAATATTATTTATGGGGATACCCCCAGTATAAAGTGGTGTTCTGAAACTTGGGGAAAAAGTGATTTTTCAGCCTGGAGATAATTAGGTTACTATTTTATCAGACTAAATTATCTCCTGGGCTAGGCGAGGGAATTGTAGGTGTGTTAACATTTTACTGTTTGGTTATGGTTTGTCCCTCCCTGAGGGCTGTCCCATTGCATGAAAGCTATGTGCACCCATTAAAGGACAGTTCATTTTGTACCCTTCTTCACTTCGGCTGATGTTTGGGGATTCGTGTGTTTCACTAAGGGAATGATCTGGTGAGACTATTGGAATTGCTATATGATTCGTCTACCCTAACTACCGAATGGAGGGCTATAATCACTAAGGCTCTGGCGGTTCGGGAGGAAACTACCGAATGAGGTTTAAATATACTTTTTGTTTCCTTACAAGAACCATCTGGGGATATACTGTGACTTTGGGGAACAATGCCCCTTTCAGACTGTCCCCAAACCTTTAAAGTCCTTTGTGCATGGCTTTCCCCTACTTGGTTCAGTAAATGGATCTTACTGAACCAAGTACTGTACAGGCAGACCACCCAGAAGTGGAAGTGTGACATCAATTTACCTCCCAGGCTGGGAGCCTGCTGTAGGTAAATTGCCAACCGCTGTTCAAACAAATAAACACATCTTTGTTCATTCGAATGTGGTCAGCAGTGCGTGCAGCCAAATCTGTGGTACTGAAATCGGCTACACGTGTCAACGAATACCGCTGACCCTTACCTTCTCCACTGAATTTTCAGCTGCAGCGTCTAAGTCCTGATCGGCAGTTTGAATGTACTGCTATACTGAGCCAGTTGCACGAATGGTGCCCGTTCATGTATTCAAATAGGACTTAGTCGTTTTTTTTCTGCCTGAAATTGACCAAACGCACAGCCCAAATCTATGGAACTGTTTTGAGCAGGAAAATGTGCTTGCGGTCAGTCATAAAGGACTTCCAGCTAACTTTTTAACTACTGGATGGATTTATATGTTTTGGGGTATGTTTGTATTTTGTGTGTGGTTTAATAATGTGATTTTTATGAAGATTGGATGTATAGTTTTAAAGTTACATTATATGTATAAAAATTATATTTTTCCTGCCTGTGACAATTACATTAACCCATTGTGTTCAGTAATTATATCACAGGCAGAGGGGAGGATTTTGTGGGAATGAATGGGAGTGTTTAGCTGTGTAGTAATGTTTTTATTGGTTGTTTTACAAAACCATGTGGGCAGTGCTATGTTTGTAAAATGGGCATGAAAGCAGAGTGTTTGACTAAAAGTTCAGTTCTACTTCAGCCTCAATTTGGAGTGCCGTCTATTATTGGGGGAATCTGCTACGAGGGATTGCTATGCTAGTCATACTCTTGCTATATATCATTACTAAGCTCTTGTAAGAGCTTGTTCCTGTCTCGCTCTCTGGAGTCCACAGTGGTTATGGTGTTGGCTGGAGTGCTTGGAGCCATCAGGAAGAGCTAGGAGCATCCATCAACGGAGGTAGCCAGTTGGGGTGCCCGTCGATCCGTTACAGACTACATGCATGTTGGGGCAGGAGAGGTATTCCCCTACTCAACACAAGTCAATTTCTATTTTGGTGAATCACACCTTGATCTTAAAGCATGATTCATTGATCTTAGGAGGGAACATTTAGTGTGTTAGAGGTATTAAAAATGACATTACGTCCATGCTAGATTTGCGAGGGAGAACTATGGATGCTGGGAGTTTACCATTTTTTAATGGTCAAGCATGGGGAATCTTTTAGACTCTAGAGCAGGGGTTCTCAACCCAGTCCTCAGGACCCCCTACCAGTCCAGGATTTGGGGGATTACGTGGGTGTGTCTAAGGTGTTAAAAAAAAAAATAAATAACACACCTTTTCTTTTTTCTAAACACCTTAGACACACCAAGGTAATCCCCCAAATCCTGGACTGGTAGGGGGTCCTTGAGGGCAAGGTTGAGAACCCCTGCTCTAGACCAAAATGAAACTGGTTGGTATCCTATTGTTATTTACTTCAAATGTTGCCATGTGAAAAGTTGTCCCAACTATGGAAAATGAGATGCCCTAGCTTCTTATTTTGAATCTCATTTAGGATACCATTATGTACTAGAGTTTCTATGATCCAAAGTTAACAAAACAAAAAACCACCATTAATTTTTAGCAGTACAGGCAATGCATTGGTTTTATTTGCACAGAAACACTGACATTGAGGATTAGTAACTGTAGCAGGAGCCATAAGTTATGGCATAGTGATCTAGCATGTGTCAAGCCATCAACATCTTCTGTGAGGTATAGATGAGATGCTTGAAAGATCTAGAACCATCATTGCTGGAGATGTTAAATTGACACACTGCTCTCAATGTTCTTTGGATCCAGATATAGGTAGGTCAAGCCTTTGATAGTAGAGTTTCTCTCCTGGATCTGTGTAGAAATCCCTTCCAATCTTTTCTGAAATTCCTTAATTATGGCTTGGGGAGTCTCCTCTGTAAAACGCTCATTTTGAAAAGTTCCTAGAGGTCTCTGGGATAAGGAAGGCTGGATTAATTGAAGGTACATTTCTAAAGCTCAGTCAACTCTGTTAGGAACTAAACATTCTATGTAAAGGCTGAATGAAATTGACACATCTCTTCAGTCTATGAAGTTAGTATTTGGAAAGTGGAGTGTCACTTTAATATGTGGCTGGCCAGAGCTTGCTGCTCAGACACAATGGTAATATGCCATGTGAAATCCCAGCATTCCCTTACTAACCATCCCATTAGTGTAATGTAACCAGCAGTAAGCTTTACAACTACATACTAACCTTGTCCATTGGTTCACGAGCAAGCAGCCAGTCTACAGCCATGGCATTAGTGGTTGTGTTTACTTCTGGCAAGGCATCTAGGAGGGTCTGGTAAGTGGCAGCACCCTTCACAGGAGGTGGAGGCTTCCTCATGGATGATGGACCATTTGGCAGCCAAGAGTAGAAGTCAAACTGTAAAGGTTAGTGGAGATTTATTTTAAACTATTAATCTCAATAAGGTGGTCTGGGGGCAGTGGCCCTGTCCTTTCAGCCCATCAGTCTAAAACATTTTCATTTAGTAGATAAAGACTGCTGTAAGTGTTAGATATCTATTTTAGCATTGTAACACCTAAATCATGAAAGGTTCACTTCAGTAAAGGGGAATAAGTTACAATGGGGTTACCACTATAGGGTAGACATGTGCAATGCGTTTTGGTACGAATGTGAATTCGGACATTTGGGTACTTCCGAATAGATGAATTGCTCAAGTCCCAAAGTTACTGAATTTCCGAAGTGGCTGAAGCACAGTATTGCCCAAGAACTAATATACTTACCCAGTGGAAGAAGGAAGAATGTTACAATGTATACAATTTTAAATAAAAAGTATACAGCCAGGATTCAGCTGTAAGCATTTGCAACACTTACATCAATCAAGTAAGACACATACATTTTATATGAAAGTTAGCCAGTTATTGTAATAACAGTAATGAATAAGTAGATAGCTCCCTAATATCGTGGTAATTGGAGAGTTATCTACTAAAAGAATTATTTCAGGGAACTAGGAAGTAAGCTAAAGAAAAGGACCTCAAAGGATAATTTTTTCAGAAATATTACCGGTGCTGCGCGCTACAGCAGAAAGGCAGGGGAGATTAGAGAGGTCAATGCGTGGCTAAAGTCTTGGTGCAGTAAAGAGGGTTTTGTGTTTAGAGCACTGGGCCCATTTTGTGCTTTGGTACAACCTGTATAGTCATGATGATTGCACCTAAACTGAAGAGGGTCTGCTGTGCTGGGGATAGGATGGAGTAGATTTTAAACCAGAGGTTGGGAGGGGGGGGGGTGGTCAAAGCAATCTAGAAAACGGAGATAGGATGGAAAGGAGATGGGCTTTAATGCAGAACAAAGGGAGTGGAGAAAAGCTCAGAACAGAGGAGGTATGCAATATTGATAATTCACAAAAAGTACAAAAGACTCATGATAATATTAAATGTATGATTACTAATGCAAGGAGCCTATAAAACAAGATAGGGGAACTAGAAGCAATAGCATACACTAAACAATATGATATAATAGGCATAACAGAAACATGGTGGGATGAGACACATGACTGCAGATAATTTAAAATAGGTACACGTTATTTAGGAAGGATAGGAGACAAGAAGGGTGGTGGGGTATGTTTATATGTCAACCTTGAGTAAAAGTCAAATCTTCGGCATGTGGAGTGTGACGAGGAAAAGGTGGAGGCTTTATGGGTAGATATCTGCTTGGGGCAAACAAAGGGAAATCAATTATTGTTGGGATATGTTATAAACCACCTAATGTAAATATTATTGAGGAAGAACAGCTGTTAGAGCAAACTGAGAAAGCTGCAAATCGAAGAAACATGTTAATTACCCAGACAAATTGGGATAGAGGGACTAGTACTTCAGCAAGGGGAATCAGGTTTTTGAATGTGTTAATGACCCCTTTATGTCACAACTGGTACAAGCACCAACTAGAAAGGATGCTTGTCTGGATCTTGTCTTAACAATGTTGATCTTTTAACTAATATTCAAGTAGAGGAACATTTGGGAAATCGTGATCACAATATGGTATCTTTTGAAATCAACAAAAGTAAAAGCAAGTGGGGTATACTAAAACATAATAAAAAAAAGCCAATATCAATAAGATTAGAGCAGCTCTACAACATATCGACTGGCATAAACTCCTTAGTGATAAAAACCCTGAGGATAAATGGAAACTATTCCAACAAATACTAGAAAGGTACATTTCTCAGTATGTACCATTGGGTAATAAATATAAAAGAAACAAATTAAAACCAATGTGGCTTAGTAGAGAAGTAAAGAGATTAAAATAAGAAAAGGGCATTTAAAATATAAGGAAGACAATAACACTTGCAAAAAGGCAATTAATGTGGCTACATTAGAAAATGAGACACGGATAGCTAAAGAATGCAAAAACCAACCACAAAAATTCTCAAGTACATCAATACTATAAAAAAAAAAGAAAAAGAAAATTTAAAGTGTAGGTACACTGGAAACAGTTGGGTTTATTACCTAATGAAGAACAAGAAAAAAGCAGAAGTTTTAAGTAACTTTCTTCAGTATACATTAATGAGGATCCTATGGCAAGAGATTTGCAAATGATTGCTGCAAAAAAAACTTGAAAATAACTTGTGATTGGATAACTCAAGACAAGGTGCTAAAACTATTAAAGAAAATTAATGTAAATAAAGCTCTGGGGCCTGACTGTATTCACCCGTGAGTACTTAAAGAGCTAAGTGGGGAAATAAGTGAACCTCTGTATTTAATTTTTCAAAATTCATTTGTTTCAGGTATCGCACCAGAGGATTGGATGAAGGTAGATGTTGTTCCTATATTAAAAAAAGTGTTCAAAATCCTTGCCTTGAAGTTAGACACCTGTGAGCTTAACTTCTGTAACTGGGAAAATATTTGTACGGCTATTAAGGGATAATATTCAGGAACTCATTGGGAAGAACTTTATTAGCAATAACCAGCATGGTTTTATGAAACATAGGTCATGTCAAACTAACCCAATTACATTCTACGAAGTAGTAAGTAGAAGTATAGATCAGGGTGTTGCAGTGGATGTGATCTACTTGGACTTTGCCAAGGCATTTGATACGGTTCCTCACAATTGGTTAGTCTTCAAACTAAAAGAAATTGGTCTATGTTTAGACACTCCTGGCACAGAGGAGTGAAACTGCCGCTTAGTTGAGCTTCCCCTCCCCTTTTAGTAACACAGATTCAATTCTGGTAAGCCCACGAATCGCGGCTAACAGCCGAACAGATATAATCTCCAAGCGGCTTACATTCCCAGCAATCAGTCTAACCGTGTTTAGTAAATCCCCCCCCCCCAATAACGAGACCAAGCGCTGCATTGAGGGTAAAACAAGAACTGCCTTTACTGTGGGCTACATGCCCATATTTATGCAAGCCTTCCACTTGGTGGACACTCCCTAGGGGACCAAATGGGAGACTAACCAGGGACAGATGTATCAATTTAGGACAGTCCCATTCCCACAATGCATCCTGGCTTCCTCCCCTCTGCCCTGGAGATAATTGAGAAGTAATTCAATTATCTCCCAGGACAAAGGCAAAGCGCCATTATGCACGTGGGGATACTAGAATAGGAATTACTATTGAAATACACCATGTGACAAGAGGTACCATAAATATACACATTTAACATATCCCCAGATAGCTAAGGTCTGCACGCACATTACGCGAATGGCGCTCTGACCACACGAACACAGTTTAATTGCCATGGAGCCAAAGTCTTTAATTCCACAAACAGGCTCCATGGTATGCTATCTGGTTATTTTTACACTGAATACATTGTAACACTAAAAAGTCCAGAATGCCCCACTGTAGAACCATAGGATCAGCGGGGCTTGGAAGAGAAAGTGTCAGCTTTCGGTGTTCTGCTGCTGGGTAGGACAAGTGCTGACTACCCGGGAGGCTTCCATAACACCGCCATCGTGTGGTGGCTAAGTGTAACGGCGACCTCCCAGTAATTGTCAATTAAGCGGTGGTTAACCGCAGATACTGGGTGGTCAATTGACTGCACATGCCAGCCTCCTGGTGGTCACGTAATCGGTAGCCGTTTGGTAAATACGTGGGGAAACAAGGGGGCTGTACGGACAAGGAAATAGCTGAACAAACAGACGAATGGAGGAAGGTGAAACATAATCTCAAAGACCGATGGTTCTGTAACAGTCTAGATTAATATTCTTGTTCTTGAGTAGAACATTGGCTTAAGGATAGAGTACAATGAGTTGTAATTAGTGGTAAATTTTCAGGCTTGACAAAAGTGGTAAGTGGTCTCCCTCAGGGTTCTGTTTTGGGACCACTTCTATAACATTTATAAATGATCTTGAAATAGGCATTGAAAGCCATGTATCAGTGTTTGCAGATGACAAGACTTTGTAAAGTAATAAAATGTGAGGAGGATATTGCTTTGCTGCAGAGGGATTTGGATAGATTGGGGGACTGGGCACTAAAATAGCAGATTAAAGTTAACGTAGAGAAATGCAAAGTTATGCACTTCAAGGTTAAGAATGCACAAGCAAATTACACCCTAAATGGTAGTGAGTTAGGGATAACCACACGAGAAGGATTTGGGAAATGTAATAGATAACAAATTAGGCAGCAATCTGCAGTTGCTAAGGCCAGTAAGCTTTTGTCATATATAAATAGGGGCATACATTTTCGGGATGAATATATAATTTTGCCTCTTTATAAATTGCTGGTAAGACCACACCTTGAATATGCTGTGCAATTTTAAGCACCTGTTCTAAAGAGATATCATGGCACTATTAAAAGTGCAGAGACGAGCTACAAAATTGATCAAAGGAATGGAGCATTTTAGTTATGAAGAAAGGTTAAAGAAATTAAATCGCTTTAGTTTGGAAAAACGGTGCCTGAGAGGGGATATGATAACATTATACAAATATATTCTGGGCCAGTACAAACCTTTATCTGGAAATCATTCATAGCTGCTTGATCCAAGGGGACATCTGACTGCTATTTTGGGGTCAAGAAGGACTTTTCCTAGTTTGTTGCAAAATTGGAAGCGATTCATTTTTTTGCCTTCTTTTGGCTCAACAGCAAAAACATATGTGAGGAAGGCTGAACTTGGACACAAGTCTCTTTTCAGCTATGTAACGATGTAAGAATAGGGGGGGACCTAATGTCCTCCCCCTGAGCGGTAGCCCTAAATTAGAGTAAGGGGTGACCTAGTGCCCTAAATAAGAAATAACCCCCCCTCCCCCCCTAAACCCTAGTTACCCACCAGCCTCCCCCAAAATACCCCCACACTAAAAATAATGAGGGGGACTTGTAAAAAAAAAAAAAAATATATAAATAGAAAACAAATGGCAAGTTATTTTTTTTCTATAGGTACTTAAATGTCCCTCATTTTTAGTACGGGTTAGTTTTTTTGGAGACCCCTAATCACCTGGGGGGCAGGGGGTTTAATTAGAGCCCCCACCCACTGCTCAGGGGTGGGGGCCAGGGGGAGGTCATTAGGTCCCCCTTATTCTGATTTAGGGCCCCCACCACTCAGGGTTGGGGGGGCAATTGGTCCTCTTTATTTCCCCATGCACATGCCTACTATAGGGTTATTGCAGGTTTTTACTATATGTCTTAGCTGATGTGTACTGTAGTTATTGCTGCCGCCCAGGAGTGATGGAGTGAGTGCAGGACTTTTCTGTTTGTTATTGGAGGTTTTAACTGCCAAGTGAAAAAAAAAAAAAAAAAAAAAACACACTTGCAAACAATATTTATATGAATACCTGCTCCCATATTACTGGGCCAGGATATGGGCCTACTCACCTGACCACTGTTGACAGCAGCATGCTGGCCAGAACATGTGAAGATCACCATGGTCAGGTATTTAATGAGCTCAGCTCGTGTTCCCAGAGAAGAAGGGACTCCTGTGGAATAGATCATAGAACTGTTATTCTATACTTTAAATAGACTTCATTTTGCCAAGTTGAAGTTCGTGTTTGGGAGGAGAGGGTATCTGAAATATTAGACAAGTGCTCTTGGACAAGAGTAGACCACTTGATAAACTAGAAATAAAATTTACATTGTACAGAGGGGGAAGCATCTGTACTAAGATCACTTCACATTTACCTGTGGATATACGTCCCAAGAAGGCTTTTGTGAATATTTCTTCCACCCAGGCCTGAAGCTCAGGATCTTTGCTGACCATATCATCATCTTTATAGTAATAATTAACAATACCAGACACAAGTCTTTAAGAAAAAATAAAAAATAGTTAAAGCATGGGACATTTAGTTTTAGAGCCTTTTGTGATAAGGACAAGTCATGTAGTATGCAATACACTTACACATATTAATGATCAGTTATAAGGCCAACAGTGAGGTCACCCCATTTACTCAATAGGGCAGGATGCTGGGGAGTCACATGTCAACCAAGATTTAGATTACATGCTGGAACCAAATATATATTTTTACCTCTCTACTGCCAGCCAGACCTTCATTCCGTCTTCTCTGTAATAGTAATTAGGAACAGACTCCATTCCTCTTTCTTTGATGTCATCAGGGAGGCAGAGGCAGCTGTAGGTCAATTCATCCATGGCTTTCTTTAGTAGAACAGGTACACCTCCATTTCCAGTCACAAAAGCCTGGGCAGGGATAGAGGGATTATTTACAATATCTACAAAACTCGAGTTTAAGTTGCACAAGTATTTTGGTTACATAGTTGTGACATATGCAGTATTAGTTTCTATCGTCGCCATTCCCAGTACACATCTAGCTACTGGCCAAGTTTGGAGAGGAGAGAAATCACCTTATCGAAGAGACCTCCATGGCCTATGAGTTGGTTTCGTGCCAAAATATTGATTTCCAAAGTATAGCGAAGATGAGGAACAACGAGCTGGAAGAGAAAGTACGAAAACTGAACTTGCCAAAGAAAGTTTGCTTTCACAAATAATGCATAGATGTTTCAGAATTGCTTTACAGCACCAAGTATGAAGGTAGCTTGTGGTGTTCCCAGACAAACATAATTGTGCAAAACAGATGGCCATCATAGTTTCCTCACTCCATTCCAGTTTTGTTTTTTTAGTTGTTGCATTAACAAAGCTGGCTTTTTTGGGTTACTGGAATTTCATTTTGGTGCAGAATGATTGTTTATGCATGACTGACCATCAGATTGGTTAGCATCTAAATCTATCCAAGCAGAAGTGAGTCAGTTACATTTAATTGTGGACTGACCTATTCAATATTGTTACCATAAAATATGGAGGACATTGCATGTAATTTGTTACGATAGTAGTTTATTCAAAGCTAACTCAGATGAGGTTTGAGTTTCCTGGATTGTGTAATTGCCAAGACATTGCAAGCAGCATGTCCAAAGCAGGTGCTCAAAATAGGGTGGCAGAAGAAACTGAAATCAGAGGAGTGTTCTTTGTATTGGCCATGCCATTTCCTACCTTATACAGAGGATGTCCCATTGGAAGTTGTCTGGCTGTAGCAATATTAAAGACCTCAGCAAGAAGATGGGTGCGAAGCAGATGAGATCCAATTTCATGCACCTGATACTCTGAATTGCGTACCCAGATTTTGGCAAGGGTCCAGTCCCACTCTGAATCACTGGGTAGGAAGACGGGGTTATTTGGTCCAGGAGTTTGGCCCAACTGGATGGAACATAAGAAAAGGATTGTCAAAATAGCTCATCCCATTTACAGTTAGATAATGAGCTGGATGCTTTAGAAAGAAGTCCATTTGTGGTCACCAAAACACTCATACTGCAAAGGGGGTTGGTTACATGGATTTAAAGGACCACCACCACCGCCCCCACCCTCAGGGACCCCCTCCTGCCCTAGAAAGGGGAAAGGGGTAAAAATTTACCTTTTTCCAGCGCTGGGCGGAGAGCTCTCCTCTCCGTCGGCTGAATGCGCACGCGCGGCAAGAGCTGCGTGCGCATTCAGCCGGTCACATAGGAAAGCATTCATAATGCTTTCCGATGGACGCTGGCGTGCTCACTGTGAAAATCAGTGAGAAGCACGCAAGCGCCTCTAGCAGCTGTCAATGAGACAGCCACTAGAGGAAATAGGGGAAGGCTTAACCCATTCATAAACATAGCAGTTTCTCTGAAGCAGCGAAGGTTTATGAAAAAAAAAAAAATGGGTTAACGCATTGAAGGACCTGGCACCCAGACCACTTCATTAAGCTGAAGTGGTCTGGGTGCCTAGAGTGGTCCTTTAATTCTCCTGGTAGTCTGAAGGTAAAGCAAAAAGGTCTGTTGTAAGAAGTAGTACCAACTGACATGCAATTCTTTTGAAATTAGAAATTAAGTTCAATTCTGCAGTTCCCCTCCACCAGTCTGGAGAAGCTAAATACCAACAGAAAGGTTCCCAACCTTAAATATAAGATGAGGCTTAAGTGCATTTTAGTGTTGTGGGGGTTGATATATGAAAGCATTAAGATTGATGGGCCTAAATAAGATTAATATGCAAGTGGTGAACTATTTCATTTTGTCTGACATGTCATTTTGACATGTCTTAAGTTGTAACTTACAGTTTAACTACAGCCTTATGTTTCCTGCTTTAAATTGCCAACTTCTCTATTTCACCATGTCCACAGAAATATTGCAGTTACATGTACTAATTGTTATTGGTTGATAATGCCGTTAATGTATACACCCCTAGACAACTGTGCCCTTTATCTATAATGTACCATGCAATACATTTTCAAATGATTTTTGCTACAGTCTGGTGTGATTCTTTACGTATTCCCAGCCACTGAACAGAATGGAAAGCAGAAACATTTTGGTGAATAAGTCCATGGCAGCTTAAGGTTTTAGACCTTGTGGGGAACTCTTAGTCCTAACAATAGATGTATGAAACAAGACAAAAATAGTGTAATATTGTACAAAGTGAATTTTGAAACCTCACAGGAGCAGAGGGATTAAGGTCTGGTAACTTCCCTAAAAGTGCACAAATGTTCAGGTTTAGAGCCTATACCACTGAAAGGTTCTTATTACATGCAATATTACATGAGAATAACTGTCATACAAATGTGGCAAACTTGCCCTTGCCATGAGCTCCTGGAGGAGTCTGCTTGCTAGCCTCCTGTCTCAGGACTGAGCCATGCTAAAAGGCTATTGAAAGACGGGGTTTGTGGCACTCCCTTGGACTGTTCAAGAACGGAGCTTATTGACCCTTGTTAACCTCTTCTGCCACTTCAGTGTGGGTTCTAGTTGTGTCGCTGGGTGGCTACTTTTTGTATGCACAAATGCTTGTGAACTGGGGCGGTCATCTTTTTCATGAGAATGTAGGCAGCGGTGCTTGAGTGTCGATCGCGTGGAACTAAAAACCCGACACTGAAACTGCTGAACTTTGACAAACGCCTGCTCCTCCCCCACACGTCAGGAGAGAGTCATTTGGTAGGTTTGTTCGGTACATACGAACAAACACTACCAAGAACCCAGAGTGCGTTCGGTATTTCTTTTAAATGGAACTTCTGAAGTGGACTGGCCAAAAGCACAAGACGCCCTGGAACTGTTTTGGGCATAGGACCATGTGTGCAGCTGGTCAGACCTTCCCACGAACAGAGCCAAAATGCCAACGTGTGGTTTGAGCGCTTTTCGGTTATGTTGGGTGCTCAGATCCAGGCTCTGGGGATGTATAGACGGAGGTTCCTTTGCGGGAAATGTGTTTATGGTTTCCCATGTTACGGTTTTTGCTGAGTCATGATGACAATGCATTTGTGTGTCTAGGGGAGTGTCTACTGTACCAGATTCTGTATAAATTTTAACCATTTGGCTGGGAATAAACAAATCTACTTCACCCTTTATTCAGTCTCAACTAGTGTTTGGGTGATACTGCAGTTACCCTTTGTCAGTAACCATAATCACTACTCAGCAGCTATAATCACATCGGATATCAACCCCCAGTGGTTTGTGGTTTAAGTGTACATTTCAGTGCTGCACTCAGTTTAGGTGAGAATTCCCATCAACTATAAGATGTTTTTTAGTAACAAAAAAGTTTAATAATCTTAAATTGTAGATTTAGTAGGGAATGTCATGTTTTAAATATATACCAATCCAGATTTGTATTTTTTTTACATCCCACACTGAAGGAATTTCTGACATACAGAAAGTTTGCATTGGGACGTATAAGACAATCATCCCAGTGATCCAAAGAGGCTTTTGTGACATTAATGCACCAGTTACCAGATAATGCATTATATTGAATGCTTCATGTAGAGGAACAGCTCTACTGTGGAGAAGTAATGTAAACCAGAGACATGACAGCCAATTGAGGCGACTATACTGAGAGAGGAGAGCCCCAGCCATTGTACAGTTGCCAATTTGTAGAAGAAGCCACATATGGTGAAACATGTTATAGTTATTTTAAATCAATAAGTCTTCAGGTAACTTAAGTCATGCCAATTCTTATTGTATTTTATATGCACACTTTCCTGGCATTTTATTGTTCTTGTACTCACCAATGCAGCAGTGTTTCCTGCTCTAGACTTGTGAGTATTATTTTATACTACATTTTATCATATTGAGAGCACTATTGTCGTCATTTTATCTTATTTTGGAGCCCTTGATACCCAGACTGCATTGATGGATGTACCTCTCCTGCATATCCCATACGTGGGGATTATACCGCTAAACACCCTCTACAGTAGAGCTGTTCATAGCTTTTGTAAATGAGCTATATATTTTACATATATCTTCTCTCTGGATCTTGACTTATTGCACTATTGGCTGCTTTCATATCTCCTTGTCCTCTTACATATAGCAACATATTGAGCCACTCTGATGGACCTATTCCTGAAGAATAGTCTCACAAGCACTTCTGACCCTACCCTGCTGCTCTAGTGAGACTATTTTGGACTATTATTTCTAGCTCCAGTGGCACAGCCCTTCTTTGCACTATTGTTTTACTGAAGGGTTTGGAGGGATTCCATTCTTTAGAGTTGCTACCTACATATTGTCTGTTAATTAGTGCTGACCTATTGTCTTGTACTATAGGTTTCAGACCTGACTGGTAGAGCGTTGGGATGGTAGGGGATGACAATATAAAACCTACCAAAACCCAACATGTAAGTAGTGGGTACAAAACTACATTATGTTTGCAGTTTACAAAGAGTGCAACAGGATATACATATGTTGTAGAAGGATTACATTTTACCTGTATAGCTATTGGGAGGAGTTTATCCTGAGGATTTTTCCACAGAAGGCATAGAGGAGCAGTGAGGTATTGCTGTTGGCCATTAATAGTGTTAGCAGGAACTCCCTCTAGAATGCTGTAGTCTGCCAAAAAGATATTTCCATTCTGGAAAAGACAAACACCTTTGAGTTAGGGATAAAGAAATGCCATCAATCCTCTAAATGGAGACTCAATATCAGGTTATTGAGAGGGAAACCAGGACAAAGACACAGGAAACAGCCACTTGTGACAAGTGTGAAAGTTCACTCTGTACCAAGATACATACCTCCAATTCTTTATTGAGGTCTGTTGATGTCCCAAGGATTGCAGCCACCATCTCTTGCTCTACATGGAAGTTGCCAGGGATTTTGATGCATTTCCTGATTAATACAGGGTTCACTCCATTCAGAAACTCATAACCAAAGAAGCGGTCTTCTTTCCACATCTGAGACACCAGCACTGACCAGAAAACATGTATTGATTAATTATTCCCAGATGGAGGTCTCAATATCAAGCAACAAGTTTACATTCATAGGAGTAATACGGCTTTAGAACCATGTCTTTAGTTGCTATTATGTCCAACAACCTGCATTTGTTCAAACCTTAATGATGCAGATGGCCAAGTAGTCTATAGCATTAGAATGTCAGCGTAGTTAGGGCAGCTTTATAGAAAGCCACCTTTATTTAGAATAATGACCATTTCTTGTAGTTAAAGATTCAGACTAACAGCATCATGCACTCAAGGCTTGACAGTGAGCTGAGACTTGCCCCTGGTCATCATAAAGTGACCTGGCACTCCTGGCTCAGACATGGGTGCTGATATTTTTTTGCATCTTGTGGGGGTTTGGTTTAGTTAAGCCTCCCTTTACACACACCAGTGCCAAACTCTAGACAAAGCAGTGACTACTAAAGGATCATTAGATGTCTGGACAAGAATATTCTATAATACAAAGCCAGCTTTGGGGTTGGCTTAACATCAAGAATATAGTTCAGAGTGTGTATCTGCTTGTGTAGGTAGAAGTGTCACTCAATGTACAGAGTTTTAGGATTGAGGTCATTACAGTGAATGGAGGGTGGGCATGAGCACGTAATATGATGCAAGTATTTGACTACATGTTCAGTGGTTATATGACAGGGTGGATTTCAGGACTAATATGGGGCCTGAAAGAAGGATAAAGTGAAGGGTACTGTATGACAGCTGTGAGGAACGAGAGGATATCACAGGGAGATTACACATTGGACTAATATGGAGGTGATGCCACAAGGGCTCTTTAGAAGTGCAGTTATGCATTCAACCACAAAATCCCAAACATAAGCAGCTCACTGAGGCAGCCAGCAAAAGTGGAGACGGCTTTCTGGTGTACAGATGGGCAGTGAAAATTGCCAGATGCATGCAGCTGCATTTTTTCCCCAAGGAGCATAAGCCTAACAATGCTGCTTGCTTCATTGGTTAACGGTAGATTGGGTCTTGGCCAGATTTTGATCAGCCGTTTGAGAGGACTCTTAAATAGTCCTTTGTAACTTATTTCCTCATAGGGAATAGTGGACGGCTGAAGAGACTTGCAATAGAGGTAGTTTGAAATTTTAGCCACTGCAGAAGACCATGTGCTCCTCCGGCATGTTTGAGTATACATTATAAAATAATCATGCAACAAAAAAGTTCAGCCCCATTCATTCATTTTTTGGAGACTTTCAATGTGCAACGTCAGTCTGGGTAAATTCTGAGCTTTAAGAACTCTGGTTACCAAGTTCAAAGTGCATATCTTGTGCAATGGTTCTTTCCAGCTTGCCTTTAGTGATCTTATGAGGAACAAGATGTAAGAAATTGACAGATACAGCCTCTATCAAATGACCTATTCTAGTTGTGTGATATAAACTCTTGAAGAGTTATGAAAATATGTAGATGAGGCCAATTGATGTAAAATATAGACTTGTGAGAAGACCAGCCATTTAACATGTTTATTTCAGGAAAAATACCGTTCCAGTCTATAGAGGACATTAATATGTCTTTAGAACCTGCTACAAGAGGCTTATTCTTAATATAAAAAAAAAAAAAGAAAAGTATATAGAATTGGTTTTATTTCTAGAATGCAGGTGCAGTCGAGTCAACTTCTTTAGATTAGGTCGAGAGGTAGAACTCCAAACCAAATGTCATGATGATTGCGGCCCACCCCTTGTTTAGACCAATAAGTATTGTGTTCCTATACATTTCTTCTTAAGACTCCTGAACTCTATTCTGGGAGTGTTGTGTAGAGTCAGTGTGTTAGAAGGGAAGGGGGGAGTAAAGTCTCTTTTGAATCCTCTTGCTTACCAAATGGCAGGAGGGGAGTTTTGCCCCTGGTGATGCAGTGCCAGACAGTGTTGTCAGCATCTCAGTTGAGTGAACACCCATGCAGTTTCACTCTGTCCATGAAGGATCCACTCAATGCCAATGCTGCCTACCAGGCCCCAAACACAAGGTGACCATCTAATGGACCCACCAGTCTAAAAAAAAATAGTGGTCTTGTTGACATGCGAGTTGCTTATTGCAAGTCGCATGCAGTCTCCAGGTTTCTAAACTATTGGTCATAAGATGTTTTTTTTTTTTTTTTAATATATTCATGATATGGTCAAGATGCAGATGGTGGCCATTCCGGCTACCCCCAGCTTTCAAAAGACAAAGTAACTGGATTAACGCAAGACATACCAGAGTTATGGGTCTTTTTGTAGAGGAAGACCTTGTTGAGGTCATTCAAATCAGTCCAGGGATCAGTGCAGTTGGTGAAGCCTTTAAGCTGCATTTCTAATCCACTGTAAAAAAGTCAAACAAGATAAATTAATAATGTGATCCCACAGAAGCAGTGAGGACAGGTAGGTTACAGGCTAGTATGGCAGAGAGCAATGAAAAAAAAATCCGTTACTTACGTTGCAACCAAGGTGAAGCCAAAGCTGGCATATTTCTGGACAGAGTATCTGGCATCAAGAGGAAGTTCCTTTGGATCACTTACAGCAATACAATAAGGAGCCCCGTCTGCGTAGACTTTCCATCTGGAAAGAGATGTGGAAACTCGTCTAAACAAGTATTTATGGGAAAGATGTACTCCATCCAGACCACAATTTAAAGCAGTATAAGGTGTCATGTCTCTCCAAGTGAGAAATAAAACAAACCTGGCTTTCTGTGATGCTGAGGTGTTGTGAGATGTGGCAGTTGACACCACAAACCAGTTCATTCCTGGCACAGATGGTATTGGAGAAGAGCATGTGGAAATCCATGTGATGCAGCAGTTTCCATTACCATTTGTGCACTATAAGTTTCATCTTTGCTATAAAGACATGTACTGCCACACCTCTTTCTATCTGCATTAGGATGAAAATTCCAACTAAGAGTGGCTCATAGTGTATTCAGTGTTGTGAGGCAGCAATCCAAAAACTGCTCTGTGTGGACCAAGATATATGCCCCCTGCCAGGCCACCCCTGGGTACAGGTGTAAAGGCTAGTGTGACACTTTAAATATCTAGTCAGGAGGAGAAATAATGTGGGTTATGTACAGTGATTGACAGCCCCCGTTACAGGTGTGCAGGCTATTAGGGTGCTTTACACAACCCACATTTCTCCTCCTGACAAGATCGTTACAGTGACTGAGACCATGAGTAAACATCAATAAGATTGTGTTTTTTTGGAGCTGCTGTGAAAGTTATTTAGTATCCAAAGTATTTTACCTGTAGATTTCTCTATTCCTGTCGAGCTCAGTTTTTCTCTGTTTTACAATGAGGGGGTTCACGCCGTGTGTCAAGATGATTCCTGGAACAGAAAGAATACTAACAAGAGAAACCAAGAGATCTTGCTTCCTGCATTGAAGAAAGCCTTTGCATGCCTACCAATTATCCTGATTGCAGTGTGACAGTCCCAGTTTTATGATACTGTCCCACCTGTTCTGGGAACCAGAAAACTGTCAATAAAAGTGTAGCACATCAATACTTGGGTTATGCATGGGTCATTAAAACAATGCTCCCTTAATGGTCTGCCTTCAGTGGGCTTTCCTGGATAATTGGCAGGAAGTCTGACATGCATTCACCTGACCCAGCACCACTTCAGGCAGACCTGTCTCTTTATCTTGCTTTCTGAGATGCCAGTGTTATGGTAAGGGGTTGGGGCAGGGGGTGTGCTTGTGAAGCAGATTTCTAGATCATGTTTATGGCAGTGATCTGGCAGGTCATGATTTACCCAGTAGAGCTTGCAATCAGAACAGCAAGTTCTTTATGTTTCTGGACAGTGCAGAGAGTCACTCACTGGCTAGAGCCATCAGCTTATGCTCCAAGCTGGTCAGTATCTCTACATTCATAAGATACATATTTTCAGTTGGATCAAGACTAGAGGCCCATTTTAAGATTATAGCTTGAATGCAGGTATACAGCATAAGGGCGGTGATTCTGTAAGTGAAGATTTCAGTAGTGTTGCTATGAATGAAAGCATTAGCCAAGCTTGTACAATGCCTTGCAGACACCCTAATTGGCACGACGGTTCCATAATAGCTGGGGGAGGACCTCAACATGAATGTATCTCAAATTAATGACCAGGCAACTTTTTGGGTTGTTATCCATTCAATGACCAGGTCTGTAAAGTACAATCTGAGGCTATTTATTAAACCCTTTTTTTGGAAGTGTTCTTTAAACCAAAATTGTAAGGTCTTTATTTTAACAAGGTAGTAGCTATATCCCAATTTAGAAATACATTTATTGCTGCAATTTTATTAGGTACATCAAATATCATCTTGTAAGAGCTGGTGCTCTACAGCCTTTGCCAGTGGAATAAGTAGAGACTTATCCTTGAGACCAAGTCTTCAGCCAGGGAACCCACAAGCATTGAGTCTGTGCATGGCTAAATTAGCCTTTGTGGACATGCACACTTTATTGGGGAGACAAGGGTGCTCTAGCATGTCATGTCTGCCGCTTTGGTTAGCTCTCTGAAGTCAACTGAATCAGGAAGGAAAAACCTCCCTGACTGTCTGATGGCCACTGAGTTCCAAGTTTAGAAGAGTGGTTTAATTGAAGTCAGTATCTTTATAGATTGCAATTAAGATGAGAGGCTACTGACACAAAGCAGCTTCTGTGGGGTGCACTTTTAAGCTCAGAGTTCATTAGACTGCCAGTATTTGATATTGTATGTTGAGACATTCCAACATATGCACAAATAATTCCAACTCTCTCCTCGAACCTCTTCAGTCTGGATTCTGCCCCCTCCACTTCACAGACACTGCTCTGACTAGTGTTACAAATTATCTAAATGCAGCTAAATCCAAAGGACACTACTACATACTAATTCTTTTTGACCTCTCTGCTGCCTTTGACACTGTTGATCATGGCCTCCTTCTCCTAACTCTTGATATCTGTGACAGCCCTCATGACTCCTCTCTCCCAATGGCACATGCCTCATCCGGTCTCAGTCAGAGTCCCTTTCTGAACCCTTTTGTTCCCTCTATATTGCCTCTCTTGGCAAACTCATTAATTCATTTGAATTCCACTACCACCTGTACACTGACGACACCAGTCTACACACACACACACACACACACCTCTTTTCCAACTGTTTTATGACATGTCACCAATTGCTTCTCTTTCTGAAAGAAGGTCCTCCTGCTTTTTGATACTCAAATCTAAAACGGAGCTTCTTATTTTTCCCTCCTCATAAAACCAATTCTCCTCGATCACTGTCCCTGCAGGTTGACCGTACCTGCCTCACCCCATCCTTTCAAGCTCGCTTTCTTGGTGTAGTATTTGATCCTGGCCTTTGCGCCTCATGTCCAGTCTTGCTAAAACTGGTCAATTCCAGATTAAAAGCCATTGCACATATACGCCCCTTTCCGATGCAAGATGCTACCAAGGAGCTTGTTCATGGATTACTGTAATTTTCTCCTAATTGGTCTCCACAGAAGCCATACTGCCCCCCACAATCTGATGAATGCTGCTCCCAGGATGATCTCTCCGCACCCCTCGGTTGATCCTTAGACTGGCTTCTTGTATTTTATTAACACTCAGACTACCCTACAGGTGTCAATTTAGGATACTAACCCTTACCTATAAAGGTCTAACCAACTCTAGCCCCTCTTACATTTCTCCACTCATTCATAGGCATGCCCCCTCTTGGTCTCTGCCCTACTGGTGACCTTCCGTCTGCCGCTTGCACCCTTCCTGCAAATTCATGCCTATTCCTTTGGAACAGCCCGCCTTCCCCTGTCAGACTCTGCCCTAGTCTTCAATCCTTTAAGAAGTCCCTCAAAAAGGATCTTTTAAAGATGGCTTACGGCATCCAAGAGTAACTTCTATCTCTCAATCCTTTCTCCTAAAAAGGTCACACCCCACTCTCACATTCAGGTCTGCTTTCCCACCATGTCCATTTGCTGTCTCCCTCAATACCCTTCCTATTGCGTTTTTATACCCCGCATTCTCTAGATTGTAAGCTTGTTTGAGCAGGGTCCTCAACTACCTATTGTTACCTTTACATTTTGTCATCTCATTTGGTAAATTACCTTTTATTGTAAATCGCTGCGGAATAATCTGACGCTATATAAATACCAATAATAATCAGTGCTGTAAAATATGCAGAGACACCGGAAGGTGACAAACAACCCCAGGGGTGACTACCTCTTGGTGTGCAGTCTTCACAACATTAGATAAGCCCCTCTTTCCTTAGCTCCTAAAGGCCTAAAATGTTTAGAGGAATTATTTTCATTTGAATAGACTAATGGAAGAGAATTAGTACCAAGAGAAAAAAAAAAATAATAAAAAAAAAAAAAAAAATCATACCTTTCCCTTCTTGAACTTCCATAGTCATTAACCCACTGAACCACTTGTAACACGGGAATCGAGTGCTCTCCCCACTGGGACTGGTCACAGTCACATACTTGCAGTACCAGGGATTATCAATAACACCGTGCTTCTTATACAGTCGTACAAATAATATGTGACCCAGGTCTGCTGGTGTGTTAATGTCATGTTGTTGCACCTGATCAGAAATAAACATTTCTTTTTAAAAGCAGCAAACACTTAAATATACAAAATAAAGACGTAGATGGGCATGCAAGTTTATTCAAGAAATCATTGGACTGGCTGAGACAGTAAATTTTGATCTGAGCCAGGGCAGACCCACACAGCTCAGGAATAAAGGTGAGTGTTAGCAGGAGTAAGGGTGACCAGCCAGCTAAAGTGTGTTTTTAATGCCAGCATCAAACATTTGCATTCATGAAATAAAAAAGATAAAATAATCCCCGCCCCCACCCCCTACACTGGACGTTTAGTCCCCTATTGGCATTTGCTTAAGTAACCCCATAACCCCCAAAAATACTCAGACACCTTGTATTGGGAGAAAATATCACAGCTTTGATATAGAAACATAACAAGTAAAATTATAAGGTAAGGGTCAACACAATACGCTATTGACCCCTATACCTTTAGCATAACTATGACCCACATGGCAGTTATTGATACGAACTATAACAAACCATTACCACCGAGGGCATGATTTTCCAGCTTCCACAATGTAGGGGTATACCAAGACACCCCCTACACACACCAGGTTCGGAGCTACCAACAGGCTTGAACCTACCAATACCAGTTTAAACCCAACTGTTCGTAGCAAACTAAAACTAACATACCTATGACCAACCCACAACTGTTCTATCCATCTCCCTGCTGCCATGACCAAGTGGTAGCTATCCTCTGAGAAAAGGGAGGGATGGACAGACAACAGGTAAGTGGTGATTAAGCCAGAGGGATCCAATAGCCAATCCACACATACCCTTATTCTATGCCTGTCTCCAAGCAATGTCAAGGCCCATTCCCCTTAGCTGCACTGCTCCACTGGACAAAACTGACATTAGTAACAGGTAAAATTATGCTTAGAGTGTCCCTTAAAAAGGAATGGTTTCTGAAAATAAAAATAAAAAAAAACAATAAAAAAAAAACCACACACACCACACAACATTATACTGTAGTTACATACACACTCACAGTATTTAAACTACTGAACACATTTTTGAGAATGCTGATATTTTCCCTTCCCTTATACCTCATGTAACATTTTAATTTATTAGAAAACATGAGACAGCAGCACAGACGGACAGACCACACTTAGACACAGATTTTAAGAGGGGTGAGGGGGGGGTTGTTCTATTTAATAGCCACAAGACAATACTCACAGATCCAGCAGGAAATATTACTCCCAGAAGATGTTTAGGACTTTCTCCATTAACTCCTACAAGAGCTATAGATATGGCATCACAGCTGGCCGAGCCAATGTGGCTCCCAGTGGCTACCTGCACTAAATAAGTAACCATGACTACAGGTAGCAGCACTATCCGTAACACAATCCAACCTACAATCCGTTCTTTAATTTATCCAAGAATAACTCACAGCGAAGGGTTCTCCCTTTTATACATGGAATACCTGCACCGACCCCTCCCTTCAGAATTAACAAGGATCAGGTATGTTCTCAGGGTTAGGCTATGAAGATTCAAGGAAGGCAAGTTATTTAATTAACCCCTTAAGGACACAACTTTAGAAGTAAACGGCCAGCATGACGGAAAATGTTGCAAGAAATTAAACTGTAAAATTGTAAAACTGAGGCTAAAGCACCCAGGCTGAGATTATTGGGGTTTAGATACTAAAGTGTTAATTCCAAATTTGAAACCACAATAGCTAAACTGGAAAAATTCTCCAAGTTAGCAACGTTTTGGCTTTTCTAGCAAAAATTCATAATTTGACTTTACACGGTTAGAATTGTCAGAATTGTCAAAGTGAATTTAAAGAGACACTACAGGCACCCAGACCACGTCAGCTCATTCATGTGGTCTGGCTACCGTGTCCCTATTGCCCTTAGTGCTGCAAAAAGTGAGAATTGAGAGTAAAGTCAGTGTATTTCACATTTAAGGTCAGAGTAGCTGAATTTGAAGCATAGCTGACATGGGGATTTTTTCCACGATTCCCAACATTTCAAATGGACAAAGAGGGGCCCGTTAATTTTTGGGGTGTGATCGGGGGCGTGAAGGTTTGGAGAAATTTTAAGTAACTAATAATAACTATTTATACAAGTAAAATGTAATTTAAACCAAGAACAATGTATCTTATTTCCACAGACTGATTTATAAACATTTATTGTAGTTTAAAGACACATTACTGGGAGTATTATTACTGCGGAGCTCTGTGATACACACAGACACATTACTGGGAGTATTATTGCTGTGGGGCTCTGTTATACACTCAGTGTATTACTGGGAGTATTATTGCTGTGGGGCTCTGTGATACACTCAGACACATTACTGTGAGTATTATTGCTGTGGAGCTCTGTTATACACTCCAACACATTACTGGGAGTATTATTGCTGTGGCGCTCTGTTATACACACAGACACATTACTTGGAGTATTATTGCTGTGGGACTCTGTTATACACTCAGACACATTACTGGCAGTATTATTGCTGTGGCGATCTGTTATACACTCAGACACATTACTGGGAGTATTATTGCTGTGGAGCTCTGTTATACACTCCAACACATTACTGGGAGTAATATTGCTGTGGCGATCTGTTATACACTCAGACACATTACTGGGAGTATTATTGCTGTGGAGCTCTGTTATACACTCCAACACATTACTGGGTGTATTATTGCTGTGGCGATCTGTTATACACTCAGACACATAACTGGGAGTATTATTGTTGTGGAGCTCTGTTATACACTCCAACACATTACTGGGAGTATTATTACTGTGGAGCTCTGTTATACACTCAGACACATTACTGGGAGTATTATTGCTGTGGGCCTCTGTAATGCGCTCAGACACATTACTGGGAGTATTATTGCTGTGGGGCTCTGTTATTATTATTATTATTATTATTATTTTATTATTTATATAGCGCCAACAAATTCCGTAGCACTGTACAATGGGTGGACTAACAGACACATAATTGAGATCAGACCACTGACGTACAGGAACAGAGGGGGTTGAGGGCCCTGCTCGAAGAGCTTACATGCTAGAGGGAGTGGGGTATAGTGACACAAAGGGTTAAAGTAGGGGAATTAAATAGTTTGTTACAGAAGGGTTTATTGAGTGCTTGGGTCATTTTTGACAGGTGAAGGAACGGAGTCATGGGGTGGGAGATGAGAAACCTGCTGACAGTTTAATTGATACGCTTTAATAAAGAAGTCCTCAGACACATTACTGGGAGTATTATTGCTGTGGAGCTCTGTTATACAGTTCAACACATTACTGTGGGTATTATTGCTGTGGAGCTCTGTTATACACTCAGATACATTACTGGGAGTATTATTGCTGTGGAGCTCTGTTATACAATCCAACACATTACTGGGAGTATTATTACCGTGGAGCTCTGTTATACACTCAGACACATTACTGGGAGTATTATTGCTGTGGGGCTCTGTTATACACTCAGACACATTACTGGGAGTATTATTACTGTGCGCTCTGTTATACACTCAGGCACCCGGTGGGTTATCACTGTGGGCCTCCTGGTATACCTCAGATACATTACATACATTATTATTGCTGTGAAGCTCTGGTATACACTCAGACACATTACTGGGGTATTTATTCCTCCTTATGGCTCTGTTATACACTCCGACACATTACTGGGAGTATTATTACTGTGGAGCTATGTTATACACTCCGACACATTACTGGGAGTATTATTACTGTGGAGCTATGTTATACACTCCGACACATTACTGGGAGTATTATTGCTGTGGAGCTCTGTTATACACTCAGACACATTACTGGAATTATTATTGCTGTGGAGCTCTGTTATACACTCAGACACATTACTGGGAGTATTATTGCTTTGGAGCTCTGTTATACACTCAGACACATTACTGGGAGTATTATTGCTGTGGAGCTCTGTTATACACTCAAACACATTACTGGGAGTATTATTACTGTGGAGCTCTGTTATACACTCAGACACAATACTGGGAGTATTATTGCTGTGGGCCTCTGTAATACACTCAGACACATTACTGGGAGTATTATTGCTGTGGGGCTCTGTTACACACTCAGACACATTACTGTGAGTATTATTGCTGTGGAGCTCTGTTATAGACTCAGACAAATTACTGTGAGTATTATTGCTCTGGAGCTAAGGTATACAGTTCAACACATTACTTTGAGTATTATTGCTGTGGAGCTCTGTTATTCACTCAGATACATTACTGGGAGTATTATTGCTGTGGGCCTCTGTAATACACTTAGACACATTACTGCTGTGGGGCTCTGTAACACACTCAGACACATTACTGGGAGTATTTTTGCTGTGGAGCTCTGTTATACACTCAGACACCTTACTGGGAGTATGATTGCTGTGGAGCTCTGTTATACACTTCATCACATTACTGTGAGTATTATTGCTGTGGAGCTCTGTTATACACTCAGATACATTACTTGGATTATTATTGCTGTGGGGCTTTGTAATACACTCAGACACATTACTTGGAGTATTATTGATGTGAAGCTCTGTTATACACTCAGACACATTACTGGGAGTGTTATTGCTGCAGAGCTCTGTGATACACACAGACACATTACTGGGAGTATTATTGCTGTGGGGCTCTGTTATACACTCAGACACATTACTGGGAGTATTATTACTGTGCGCTCTGTTGTACACTCAGACAAATTACTGGGAGTATTATTGCTGTGGAGCTCTGTTACACTCAGACACATTACTGGGAGTATTATTGCTGTGGGGCTCTGTTATACACTCAGACACATTACTGGGAGTATTATTACTGTGGGGCTCTGTTATACACTCAGACACATTACTGGGAGTATTATTGCTGTGTGGCTCTGTTATACACTCAGACACATTACTGGGAGTATTATTGCTGTGGGGCTCTGTAATACACTCAGACACATTACTGGGAGTATTATTGCTGTGGGCCTCTGTAATGCGCTCAGACACATTACTGGGAGTATTATTGCTGTGGGGCTCTGTTATTATTATTATTATTATTATTTTATTATTTATATAGCGCCAACAAATTCCGTAGCGCTGTACAATGGGTGGACTAACAGACACATAATTGAGATCAGACCACTGACGTACAGGAACAGAGGGGGTTGAGGGCCCTGCTCGATGAGCTTACATGCTAGAGGGAGTGGGGTATAGTGACACAAAGGGTTAAAGTAGGGGAATTAAATAGTTTGTTACAGAAGGGTTTATTGAGTGCTTGGGTCATTTTTGACAGGTGAAGGAACGGAGTCATGGGGTGGGAGATGAGAAACCTGCTGACAGTTTAATTGATGCGCTTTAATAAAGAAGTCCTCAGACACATTACTGGGAGTATTATTGCTGTGGAGCTCTGTTATACAGTTCAACACATTACTGTGAGTATTATTGCTGTGGAGCTCTGTTATACACTCAGATACATTACTGGGAGTATTATTGCTGTGGAGCTCTGTTATACAATCCAACACATTACTGGGAGTATTATTACCGTGGAGCTCTGTTATACACTCAGACACATTACTTGGAGTATTATTGCTGTGGGGCTCTGTTATACACTCAGACACATTACTGGGAGTATTATTACTGTGCGCTCTGTTATACACTCAGACAAATTACTGGGAGTATTATTGCTGTGGAGCTCTGTTATACACTCAGAGCACCCAGTGGAGTTATCACTGTGGAGCTCTGTTATACACTCAGATACATTACTATGCGTATTATTGCTGTGAAGCTGTGTTATACACTCAGACACATTACTGGGAGTATTATTCCTGTATAGCTCTGTTATACAGTCAGACACATTACTGGGAGTATTATTACTGTGGAGCTCTGTTATACACTCAGACACATTACTGGGAGTATTATTGCTGTAACGCTCTGTTATACACACAGACACATTACTTGGAGTATTATTGCTGTGGGACTCTGTTATACACTCAGACACATTACTGGGAGTATTATTGCTGTGGCGCTCTGTTATACACTCAGACACATTACTGGGAGTATTATTGCTGTGGAGCTCTGTTATACACTCCAACACATTACTGGGAGTATTATTACTGTGGAGCTCTGTTATACACTCAGACACATTACTGGGAGGATTATTACTGTAGAGCTCTGTAATACACTCAGACACATTACTGGGAGTATTATTGCTGTGGAGCTCTGTTATACACTCCAACACATTACTGGGAGTATTATTACTGTGGAGCTCTGTTATACACTCAGACACAATACTGGGAGTATTATTGCTGTTGGCCTCTGTAATACACTCAGACACATTACTGGGAGTATTATTGCTGTGGGGCTCTGTTACACACTCAGACACATTACTGTGAGTATTATTGCTGTGGAGCTCTGTTATAGAC